GGAGAGGTGCTACCTGAATTTTAACTGGAGCAGTTTGCCTCACTGAGAAACGCTCAGGGTCAGGATACGAGATGGTGCCAAGCTACTTCATCTGCTTCTGAAAAAAAAAAAACCCGTAGCTCCTGGAAAAGCGTGCTTGCTCCAGCGTCTGTGAGTTTGCAGGAGAGCTTAGCTTGGACAAGGACGCTATTTCTCTTCCTTTTTTACGTTTGTGCATCTAAGAGATTGCTGCAATATTTGTGTTTCAGCCGTGCAAACAGCCATTGCATCCCCCGCACAGCATGCAGGATTTCCTCCCGAGCTGGGATTGCGTGTTTGCATTGCTTGTTTACATTAAAGCCATTAATACAGCGATCAAGTGCTGGTGGTTTTGTAGCTGAGATGCATCGCTGCTTATGGATTGAACTCTTCAAGTCACAGATGGCATTGATTATTTTTCAGCAGTAGATTATGTTCACTCTAAAATTCCAGAGGTAAATGTCACACTTTAAAAAAAAAAAAGAAAATTAAAAAAATCTTTATTGTGCTAAGGTGTAAAAATCACACACTTCTTCATAAGCTGTAGCAGCATTGCTAAGCCATGATTTTTATTTAACCTATTTCTGCTGAAAGCCTATTCATGTGTTTCTGACAGATGCGAGGTGATTATTCCTCAGCTTCAGGAACTGCAGGTTAAACTGAGGGATTTCCCTGGCAGCCAGACGGCTGCTCCCGCACCGCTCCTGGAGAACCAGAGCAGCTCCCGTCCCCGGCCGCAGGCTGACCCCCCAGCAATTCCCTGCCGCCACTGCTTTGCACCAGTTGCAGCTCAGTCCAGCCTTACGGCGCCGTGTTCATCATCAGTCTGGAGTTTAATGCGGCCTAAAAAAAATTGGTCAGGAAGAAGAAAATGGAGCAAAGCACCATGAGGTTGGGGAGAGATGATTTAAGCAACACGAGTGCTGTGGTTGAATGAGTTATTGCTGCTGCCGCTGCTGGAGCTGAGCTGGGGCAACCGGCCGCGTTCACCCCCCGGCCTGGTGCAGAGACAGAATCAGAGAATCGTAGAATCGTTTAGGTTGGAAAGACCTAAAGAAAGATCATCCAGTCCAACCAGTAACCCAACACTACCAAGTCCACCACTAAACCAATTAAGGGGAGAGTAGCAACCCCACGCCTCCTGGCTTGGTGGCTGGGTCATTTATAATGGAAGAAAAAACTAGGAATCATTAAGGGTGGAAAGGACCCCTAAGATCATCACTCCAATCATCAACCCAACACCCCCATGCCCACTAAACCATGTCCCCAGGTGCCACCTCTGCCCATTTTTTGAAGCCCTCCAGGGCTGGGGACTCCCCCACCTGTCTGGGCAGCCTGGTCCAATGCTTGACTACCCTTTCTGTGGAGACATTTTTCCTAATATCCAATCTAATTTCTGGCTCTCAGTCAACCAGAGCAATCCCTACCAGCCACAGACTGCAGCAGCCCGCTTGAGTCACTCCAGAAATCGTTTTTCTGCTAGCGAGGGGGTGGCCCCGTTAGACTAACGCGCTTCCAGACTGATATCACTCGCAGCAGAGTGAGAGCTACAGAGAAACCAAAGATGGGTCGTGAGCAGAAGGAGTCACGGGTTAGAGTCCGGAGCCATAAACGGGGTCAGACTCCGGCACTTTGACACGATAAAGGTGAGCTCCGTGCGATGTATCCCATACGATGCAGTCGGAGCCAGAGCATATGCATCCGTCATCTGTTGTTTGGGGGGGAGTGACCTTTAAAAGCCTCATCTTTTCCCAGTTATGGCACATATCAGCTGTTCTTTGCTTAAAAATAAATAAATGAGAAAACCAAGATCTAAACCAAGGCTTTCTTCTAAAAGGTTTAATGGCCTTCCTATTGTAACGCATCTATTCTTCTTTGGGCCCCTCACTACAAGAAGGACATTGGGGTGCTGGAGCGTGTCCAGAGAAGGGCAACGGAGCTGGGGAAGGGTCTGGAGCACAGGGCTGGTGGGGAGCGGCTGAGGGAGCTGGGGGGGTTCAGCCTGGAGAAGAGGAGGCTGAGGGGAGACCTGATCGCTCTGCAGCTCCTGACAGGAGGGGGCAGGGAGGGGGGTGTTGGTCTCTTCTCCCAAGGAACCAGCGATAGGATGAGAGGAAATGGGCTCAAGCTGCACCAGGGGAGGTTTAGGTTGGATACTGGGAGAAATTTCTTTATGGAAAGGGTGGTCAAGCATTGGACCAGGCTGCCCAGAGAGGTGGTGGAGTCCCCATCCCTGGAGGGGTTCAAAAAACGGGCAGAGGTGGCACTTGGGGACATGGTTCAGTCTGGTCTACCCTTGATTGGTTTAGTGTGGGCTTGGTAGTGTGGGTTAATGGTTGGACTGGATGATCTTAAAGGTCTTTTCCAACCTAAATGATTCTGTGATTCTAGGATTCTATCTCTACAGTTCTAATCTAGCTTAGCGTGATCTCTGCTTTGCTCTGCTGCATTTTGCAGGCTTGTGTCTTCTCCGGTCCATGTCTGCCCACGAGGCGTAGGGCAATATAATCCCTAGATTGTGGCTGCACATGCCTTTACATGATGCTTCATCTAAAGCCTTCGACTAGGAATGATTCCTTTTGGCCAAATCTTTATATGTACGTGTGTGTGTGTGTGTGTGTTTGTATTCTTCTTGATAGTACCAGAATATTCTGTCTGTGGCTTGTAAGCGAACTGTTAAGGAATCCCGGTATCAGTTACGTGACAGCTTCCGTATGTGAAAAAGGAAATGTTGACCTAGCCTATCGTCTGTGCCCGACGGACATATCCTTACAGTCCCTGCTATCGTTCTCCCTTTGCTAGAAAATCCCAAGTAGATCCTTTATTGAAGATGCACAAGGACGTAAAAACATATTTCTAGCCCACCTTCCCCCAAATACTGAATTGTATCAAATCCATCAGTCTTTTTCTCCCAATTAAAACGCCTCAGCATCCTCCTTTACCACTTTTTCATCTGCACCTCATCACATTTTGCATACCTGCAATAACCTTTAGTTTCTGCATCTTGTGTCTTGAGTGAAATAGAGATTCATGGGGAGTGATTTGGGGAAGAGTTAAAGCGAATGTCTTGTGTCCCTGTACTTGATTTCACTAGGGCATAGAGAGATTTGGGGGTACAATAAATATTGTTCCTGCCTCAGCTATGAAAGTCCGCATCCCTCCAAATGGCAGGAGTAAATTTTTTTTTGGCTTTTTATTAGAGGTTTTGACAAGAGGCCTGACACCAGTTTTTACTCTACAGCCTGGGAACTGTCTGTAGACCTCCTCTTACAAGGTGAAGTCTCTGTTCCTCTTGTAACGTACCTGGTTCTTGAGTTTCCTGGGGAAAAGAGATCGGATTTGTACGCTCTTCTGTGCACCCTTTGTGTTTCACATCTTCAGATTCCTCACAAAATCAAGAGAACGCGAGCACTGAGCGGAGCAGAGCGTGTCCAAGTTAGAAACGAACGTATTAATTTATTGTTGAGGAACGGAGCGGTCATATCTTAATCCTTTCCATTTGAAGGACCCACCGCTGTGCCTTTACGTAGTTCTTTCTCTCTTTACTGCCTGTCGGGGATTTTACCAGAGCTCAGTATACCCAGGAAGAGACTTCAAACATGGTCTTTCAGAGCCTTAACTTCGCGGTGATGTGATAAATGCAAATTTCAGATTGAAAAGGCCGGTTGGACAAGTCTCTCTTGCCTTGTGCAAAGCTGATGCTTAGACCTAAGCATTACGAAAAGCGTGTATCTTAATACTTTGGAAAAGCCCTTAAACACCTGCACAAATTAAAAGGAAGGGAAGTGAAAGCCCTACATGTGTATGCCATTTTAAGCGAAGGGTTTTTTTTCCCCCAAAATAATGTTTGTTAATTATATTTTAGGCCGTCAGAGATGAATTTGAGGCTCTGGGGGCTCTTAGATCTATATTATAATGCTGGGAAGGCAGTAATGTTACTTACTAAAATTACTAAAATGGTGTCAAAATTCTGTTGGAATTGCCCTTTCTTAGTTTTTAGCTTTCTCAGTACATATTGTTTGAGGATTTGCTGATTAGTAAACAGTATAAAAATTCTGCTTAGACCATGTTTTTGGTTTTTGTTTAGCACTTCAACCCCCTCTTACTTTTGTGCTCTTACACGCATCCACAATTTTTTATAAGTAACTGTGTTTTGCTAACTGTTGAAAAAAGGGGGTTTCCACATTGAGTTGTAATTCTGATGGGAAGTTTTGCAACTTGACAATTTGATACTTGATCTGCCCCGTCTCTATGATCACAGCCCTATTTTTTCAACAAAGTTATTTTCTTCTTAGCTCTTACATCTTTGTCTTCAATGTTACGTGTATTGCCCTAAAAAAGCACAGCTGTATCATGTATTGCCAGGCAAATCACACATATAATACATTTATAAGATTTGGAATGTCATCATCTTTTGGGTTTTTTTTTTTTTCTTCCCCATTCAAATTGAATAAATGTTGTCAAGGTTCTTTTTTTTTTTCCCTTAAATATTGATGTAGCTTATCTTTTCCCTTTGTGAAACCTGGGCCACAGTTCCTTCTAACATTGTCTTACGTTCTCATGTCCAGCTCTGGTGCAGGCGAAGCGTTGCAGAGTTAATTCGCAGGTTCTTTTGAATTCAGTAGTATCTCTGGTTGTCTTCCAGTAACTCGTCACAACCACCTGAAGGACTTCATGCTGGTGGTGTCCATCGTCATCGGAGTGGGCGGCTGCTGGTTTGCCTACATCCAGAATCGCTATTCAAAGGAGCACATGAAGAAGATGATGAAAGACCTCGAGGGACTCCACAGAGCTGAACAGTCTCTCCATGACCTTCAAGAAAGGTAGGTTTTGTGCATCCACCCAGTTGGAGCATTCAACAGTTGGGCTCAAGCTGCGCCAGGGGAGGTTTAGGTTGGAAATTAGGAAAAATTTCTTTACGGAAAGGGTGGTCAAGAATTGGAACAGGCTGCCCAGAGGGGTGGGGGAGTCCCCATCCCTGGAGGGGTTCAAAAAACGGGCAGAGGTGGCACTTTGGGCCATGGTTCAGTCTAGTCTATCCTTGATTGGTTTAGTGTGGACTTGGTAGTGTAGGTTAATGGTTGGACTGGATGATCTTAAAGGTCTTTTCCAACCTAAACAATTCTATGATTCTATGATTCTATCTTTCCTGCAAGCTTATTCCTCGTTTAGATTTCAGGAAAGATTTTCTTTTTAGCTGTCCTGCTTCTGTGCAGCAGCCACCCAGTGCTGCGTACCAGAGTCAGCACCTTCCTGAGCGACCGTAGCAAACCTACCGACCCGTCTGAACAGCTCGAGTGGGCGCCTGGCTCGTTACCAGGCTACACGTAAAGCTGTGCGCGTGCTCACTTGACCTGCTCTTTGGCGGTGACGTGCTAGTTCTTTGTACTTGCCGTGTGCCACGTGAAGGCCTGGGTGCTAAAAACTCCCTCGCCTTAATACAGTCCTGAAACGTGGCAGTGAAGCCACTTGAGCAAAGTGGCAGCATCCGACACCAGCACCTCCCGCTCCGAGGTGGGCTCCGGCGCACGCTGACGCGTAGTCGAGCCTGGCCGTACGTGCTCCCATGCAGTTTTGTTTCCTTTCTGTGCTGTTTTCATGTTGTGTTTTGCCTGTTTAGTTCCGGTTCTGCCTTAATGGTCGTTAGTGGTTCCAAAAAACAGTTTCTGAATTTCTGGGAAGACTTGACTCCCTTTGGTTTTGCTGCTCTTGGTGCATGAGAGCTCTCCTCCCTACGCTCAGAACTTTGCTGCTTTAAGGAGCGAAACATCCAACCGAACAAAATGGATGGGAGCGCTCCCGCTGCGCTCGACAGTGGCCACTCTTCATTTTGAGCGCGTTGTCTTATTTCACATAGGTACTTCCTATTTATTTACCACATCTAATTATATCGGAGCAGTGAAGCATACAGTGGTTCTACTCCCGGTCTGACTCGTACTGAAGTATATCAGGATCCCCATCCCCTGAAATTCCAGTGTAAATCTGGTACCTAGAGGGGAAGAAGAGCCTCTTAAAGGAGTGCAAGGTAATCCAGCTCGCTCAGAATTTGTCATCCAGGCTGATCAGGTTGTTTCCACCCTGGCTTTTGATGGGGAAAAAGCATGCGGAAACAGCGGAAGCAATCAGAGGAGTTACAACCCTCTTGAATTCTTGGAGCTACATGTAAAAGTCCGTGCTTCCCTGCCTGCACAGTGATACCTAAATCCAGGAGTGTTGCCTGGGAAGAATGAAAAAAACAATTTTGGAGTATTACGTATGACTAGTTGAACTCTAGGCACTTGGGCAAAATACTGGAGCTTCAGGAATGTGACCTCTACTCACAGAAAAGATTGTAATGGTTCCAGTAAAACTACTCATCGGAGAACGGGCTGCAGAAGAGGCCCTCTGTAGAGACAGGAGTCTTCTAGGAAAAAAAAGAGCATTAAAGAGTGTTGATGACAAACCGGTGGGGTTTTTTGGCAATAAGATTTTTTAAGGGCAGATTTAGCAAATAACAGAGCATGGCAGTCTTGGACTGTAACTATTTTTCATTAGTTTTAAGTGTAATTTTGGAGGATAAACCTGAATTTGGCTGCCATATAAGCTGACGGCTACGTTCCCAGTGACTTCTCCGAAAGCGGAGCCTGGCCCCATGCACACTGGCCGCTTACGGGTGGTGTAACGAGCGACCCATGCAAACGCCAGGATCCCGAGGATGTCGATCTGCCGTGGAGACTTTTGCAAGCAGCTGAGTCTTTGGAAACCATATGATGTGCCCACAAGACTGCAGCCGGATTTCTTGCCTACGTGCTCATGACAGCCTTCAGGGAATTGTCCCGCACGTGAGCGTTGCTCGAAAGCCTTTGTTCTTTGAGTGTGATCGCATCGTTTGGAGTCTATGTGGAGGGCAAACACTTGAGAGAGTACCGAGGTGATGGTGCCAAACGGCATGTTCCCCTGGCAGTAATGCGGATACGTGACCTGCTTCCTTTTTGGCATAGAGATAGAATAAAGTGCATTTCCCCTCTGCCTACCATGGAGCCAGCTCCAATCCACAGCTGGTTTCACAGAGCTTTGTGTAATTGCAGGTTGGAAATACCCCAAAGAAAAAGATTTGTTTTTTCTACAGCCAGAAGGACACAGGAATTCCTTCGCAGTGTCCATTTCTTGGAGCAGCAGAGCCGTGCCCCGGGCGGGAGGTCTCTGCTGAGTGTCACTGAAGAGCAGGTCACACCAGAGGTCCAAACGCCAGCTGCCGTGAACGTGCTGTGTGGGGAACGACCTTGGGATCTGCTGCCGAGGGCAGAGCCACGTAAACAAGTAGATGTGCCTGGGAAGTTTAACTAATACTCTAAAGCCAGATAGGAAGAAACACAAAACCATGTGTACTAAGCATAGCTTGAGTCTTAACCCAGAGCAGCTTGTGATGCTTCTGCAGGGTGCGCAGCTTGTCCTCTGCAGAGGGCACTGAGCTGGAGCTTGGGAAGTGGGGGGTGGCCCTTGTGGGGCTTCTTGGCAGAGGATTGATCTAATTCCCCTCTGAAGGGGGGAATACGCCTTTGCTGCTTCATCCTCGCGCCCCAGCAAGGTTCAGCTGTGGTCCTTGGCCCCTGTAGAAATGGCAAAAGCTACCAACAGCATGTTCCCACGGACTTGTTCTGAAATTCTGCTCAGAAACTTCTTTTCTAGAGCTTGAAGTAACCTCCTTTCCTGGCTCGTTGCAATTCAGCGCTGAACAGACCTCCGGAAGGCACGCGATGCCTTTCCAGTTGCCTACCAGCTGCTAGCGCTGTTATTTGATGAACAACTCTGATACGATCTTGAAGAGATAGGAAGGGAAGACTTGATACAAAACCCCATTTTTTTGTTCATCTTCAAAATACCTTTTGCAAACATCCTTCAACAGTGACGGTTTCCAGTCAATTAAATGACCCATCAAGATAAAAAAGTCCATGTCTTTGCACATCCTACTGATGATCGAAGATCTGTATTGAAGATCTGCTGATTGTGTTGAAGATCTGCTCCTCGGTTGTGAAGCCCCCAGACGGGTCTCCATTTCTTGCCCTCATTACAAGTGCACCTCTGAAGGCACTTTGTCGTCTTCTGGAGCTCAGTGCACGTGAAACCAGTGCGGCTCAATCGGCTGGGTTTGAACGAGAATGCACAGACAAAACGTGATTTTGTCCATAACCAACAGAAGAAAATATGGTCTCTGCTGTCAGGAAAAAAATGGTAATAAGGGAAAATATGCTTTTAGAGTGCCTTTGAGAATTATCTTAAGGATAAAATTCCTTACCATTCTGCGTCACAATACAGGGGAATTTCTCCTTTAAACAGAGATATTTTGGTGGTTTGGGATTCTTACGGCCCTAGTATGGAAGAGCTTTAGCACTGATGCACAGGGCAGAGAGCGTGGGTTTATCTGAAAACTTGGAATGTCTTGGCAAGAGTGTCTTCAATTTGGGAAGAAAAACACGAGTTTCTCAACAGAGCTGCAAATTGGAAATGAGCCTTTCCCAAGGAGAGCCAACATCATGGCTGATGAGAGTCCAGCCTGCCCAGTCTGTTTTAAGTGACCATCTGCATGCCGAGGAGGAGCCTGAGGAAGCGAGTCCTTGGCTGGGACAGCGAGCAGCTTCGCTCTTGACCTGAAAGGTAGCGATGGGTCCCTGCTGTGAGTCTGCCCATGGGCCGTGCTCCGTCTCGCCGAGAGCACAACCAAGCGCCGCCCTTCGATACGATGGACACCTCTGCGTGTGCTGCAGCGTTTGTAGCGACTGGGGACCAGGTTTTTTTCCTTTCTCTTAGTCCCCAGCTGCTCCGGGATGAGCGGGAGCCGCTCGGGGAGCCCAGGAGTGCCCTCCCAAGATGTGTTGATGTTCACAGGACAGGTACAGCACACCCGGGGCCAGACCTCGCTGTCCCCTCTCGCCTGCCTCCCCGCACATCACTCTGCTGGTTTGCTCTCCAGTTTGAATGTTGAAGATTTTGAGTGGGAGAAGATTTTTTTGACCTTGAAATACTTTTTCATGACTAAGATGATTCCGTTTGAGGTGATAGGATGGATCTTTTTCTTTTCATTGTATGGATGGTTTTACTTGGTCACTGCAAATCTATCTTCTGCAAGCCGCTACTGGTGTTGCTGGTTAAGCTGATGCCTTGCTAACCTCAAATGTTGCTGGTAGCTTCAGTGTAGATGAGCACGTTATCCAAGATCCCACCGATCCGTAGACAAGCTGCCTGGGCAGGACAAGAGGTGCGTGCAGGGAGAAGGGTCTGGTTTGGGTGGGAAGCAGAGCTTTGCTTCTCATGGCAGAAAACAGGAGTTTCCTCAGCTTGGTCTGGGTAAAATAGTGTTGCCTCTGCCACTCCTACAGTATGGTTTTGTCCAGCTTTTATTGATTTATCTCAGGCTGTGATAACTGAGATTTTTGAAAGAGAAGTTCATGTTGAAAAGGTGGGACTGTTAGATTGATGCACCTGGTTTCTGACAGTGTAAGCCACAACGCTTCATTGTGTTCGATCCAGTAGCTGAAGTACACGTTCTGGAAACTCATCACATCTTGACTTGAAGTTATCCAAAGATGGATGTACCACATTCCTCAGAAATTTGATCCAGGGTTTAATTGTTGCCATTATTTAAAAAAAAAAAAAAATTCTTTATTTGAATCATTTGGCTGGTTCTCGCAAAGGAAGAAGCACTTAAATACTCTTAATTCTTTCATCAGTAGTACTTGTTCAACATGTTTTCTCAGAATCTTCATTATGCAGTGAACCATTTCGTGTCATTTCAGCTGAATATTTGCCAAATCTTTTTTTTTCCCCTTTTACTTGGCAATCGCTGTGTCTCTAGAAGCACATGGCTTTGGGACTGTATTTAAAAGAGGCAGTGCTGCCATTAGAGGTTGTTTGGGTGACAGCAACCAGAGGCTTTACCACCCCTTGTCAGGACAGCTCAGTCCCACGTGGGCCAGGTTCATTCTTGGTGCTGATTTGATTTCACTGAATTTGTGCGAGGATTGGGTTTACACTAGTGCAACTTCCCTGAAATGCAAACGTCGTAGAAACCCTGAACCATCTCTCTGTGGCTGCGGTGGTGTCTCCTTCAGAGGGCTGAGGCTTTCCAGGCTGGATGGCTGAACCTTCCTGAGCCAGTACAAGTGAGCCGTTATTCCTTTGTGTTGCCATATGGAATTCCTACTTACTTAGTTCTGTCATGAGGAAAAATAATAACTTCCAGGCAAGATTAAGACATGTCTAAATTCGAAGGCTTTTGCAAGGGGAACACGCAGATGACCCATCTGGGTGGTCATACCTGCTCAGGCAGATTTCCCCTCCTTTTTTTTTATTAAAGGCAAAGGTCTTCACTTCTGTAAAAACACTGAAAATGCAAATTCATTTGAGGCTTATTAAAGGCAATCTTGGTGTGCTTTGGAAAATTAAGAAAATATGTACTGAGTATTTAATAAAAGTTGAGACCATGGAGTTGACAATTTAATTTCTTCCCGGGCACGGTGAACTTTCTCCTTGACTTCCCAAATACAGACCTCTGTTGACATTAACATAGAGTAAATAAGAGCAGGGCTGGTCTAGATTGTGGCTGGCCAGCCCTGGCACTGTGGACTCCTTCAGCTGCATACAGGTAGCCCGACACGCACAGCATTGGGCTCTTGGTCTCTGTGTGTTGCAGGCTGCAGAAGGCTCAGGAGGAGCACCGCTCTGTGGAGGTGGAAAAGGTGCACCTGGAGAAGAAACTGCAAGACGAGATCAGCATCGCCAAGCAGGAGGCACACCGGCTCCGAGAACTGCGGGAGGGCACGGAGAATGAGCTGAGCCGGCAGAAATACGCTGAGCAAGAACTGGAGCAGGTGAGGGTTCAGCCAGATGGCCGCGCTTACATACGAGATGCACCAGCAAGAGCAGTAGGCAGCTCCTCGCTCTGCTTCATCCTTCTGAGAAATCCAGTGATGTTCTGCTTATAATGCTCTTCCGCCTTTGCTTTTCCACTCCCTTTGTGGAGGAGAAGGTCCAGGTATTTCTGCCACTGCGCCACGTTGCACGTCCCCCGTGCTCTGTGGCAGTGCTGCTCGTGTCTCGGGTAGCAGGGACCGTGCAGGTGCCGTCTCAAGAGCGATGTGCTGCTACTGCACGCCGTCCCAGCTTGCCCTGCAGAAGGAGAGGTGTTGAACTTGACCTGTAGTTACACCCCTCTGATGACTTCTATCTCCCACTCCAAACCATAAGCTCATTCTTTTTTTCCTTTTGTATCTATTCACGGGTTTAGGAGAGATTTAGAATGAGTGTGGTTCTGCTTATCGTGTTTTCTTGTGGATCAGAGAGGTGCACGTCGGAAATTTCCTTCCAAGGAAATTTAGCACTAGATTAGAATCTATACAGCAAGGTTAGAGTCGTATGCAACTCTCAAAAACATTAGTTTTAAGTTTAGACTAGCAGGAAAATACATCCCCAAGTTACATATTGCAACGTAGGCCTAGGCAGAACATTGTGTATAATGCTGCTGCAGGCAAAAATGAAACATGTTTGGTCTAGAAGGGTACACAGAGCATTTGTAAAATAATTTGTCGTAGGTCAGAAAAAGCATTCCAAACCCTACATCTAAAAACCCTGAGACCTATAGCAAAAGCTATAGGGAAACAGCGGAAATCAAGGACATTGCTCGTGTAGCACCTGCCTGCAGTAACAGGCGGCAAAGAGCGAGCAGCTGGGAATTTCACCTCAAAACTGCCCTTTGGCAAACCTACAGAGAGTCCAAAACCGCAATTCCGGTTGCTGCTTCCTATGTCACCTGAGGGAGAATTCTTACCTGACTTCAATTTATATATCAGTTTAAACTGAAATTGCGTGAGCCAGAATTGCATGGGCCAAGCAAGTACCCTGGATATTCTGAGGCCACGAGCACATCCTCCCAACGTGACCGTGCGCAGTCTTTTATGCCGCTGTGGAGGATGGGGAAGAAAACGAGGCAAGAATCTAGGGTTTCCACTGACAAGGGAGAAACAAGTGTCCTGGGCCATCAGGTAACCAGGGAACCGTGGGGCAGCGTAGCCTGGGTATGCAAATACTCAGCAAACAGCAAATTTCCTTCCTGCTTGGAATACCAACAGCCCAGCCACCCGCAGGGCCCTCCTACCAGCTTTGCTCTCGCGCTCCGACGTCATTCCTCCTCCCTGGTCATCCAGCCTCTCCACAGAGTCACCGAGCTCCATTTCAGGACACTCGTTGGGGCGTCCATATTCACACACACAGAAATTCGGTCATTTTGTATTGAGGGCCGTTAAATAAGGATGTGTAGCCTTCCTCTTGTGACCCCTTGTACCCAACCTGCTCCTGGCTTTTGGAGAAGGCAGGGTCTCATCCGTTCCGCTGCCCCCTCCACTTGACATTTGTTAAGAAACCCAAAAAGCCAGAGGTGACTTAACCGCTCTGTTGTTTCTTAGAGGCCTTCGGGAGGGATGCACTGACAGGGTGAGTATTGGTTTTACCCACCTGACCCACACTGTGTGATTATAACACGATCACCATCCCAGCGAGCTGTAGACCACAGATAACATTAACCAGTCACTCCTGCTGACCGTAAAACTCATCCGATTTTAAGATAATTCTTGGGTCCCAAGGAATATTAAAACAAGACCTTCTTTTGCACCCGTTGATTCTTACCACTAAAACGATTCTGGGGTTGGGCGTATGAGATGGAGGAGCAGTGTATTTCTGGGATGGGGCTCTCCCATACCGGGTTGTCCGTACCAACCCTCTCTCCTCGCTAGGTCATCCTCCCGCAGACCATGGACCCAGCTGGGGCTGCAGACCCAGAGGGCATTCCTTGCTTTATAAATCGTTGCTCTTAGTGGTCAAAATGGGATCTTAGAAATCTCCGTAAGAAAGTGTAGACGCACACAAGTGACTCCTGTTTGTACTGATTCCCCTGCAGAACCGAGAGGGTTTGTGTTTGGGACACTGCTGTATGATGGCTCATCTCAACCACCGGTCCTTGGCTGTTGTTCTGCACTGCTTCCCTTTTCCACCATTCCATAAAAATGTTGTTCCTGTAAATGCTTTGAGCACTCCAAATACCTAGTGGCAGATTTCCTGCCCGCTTATTCTCCGTATTCCTAAATCCGAGACGCTTGCGGATCGCGGTCAGAGTTCTGCCTGTGGTGGGAGCAGTGCCTGGTGCCGCTGGTGTCAGAGGGGAAAAACCAGACCTTCCTGAGGTCTGATATTCTGAATTTGTAACTTTTTGAATGATTTAGACAACGTTATGCTCAACAAGAGTTCATTTATATCACACATAGTGATATAAATAGTTGACGTCTTCTGTGCAGTGCCTCCTGGCTTCTTCTAGAAGGACTGTGCAGATGTACTCCGGGGTAAAATACAGGATTTCAAATAGCTGAGTGTAACACGGTGCTTTTGGCTCGCTGGAAATTACGCCTATGCCAGACTTGGTGAGACATGACTGAGTTAAATAACACATTAAGGGAAAAGATCCAAGTTTGAGCAATCTTTTTAAAAAATGCTTATCCTCAGTCCGCTCGCGGCTGTGCTTCGTGGGAAACGAAGAGGCACCGGCACCAGGCAAGGGTGGGTGTGAAGGTGGTTGTGGGAAGCGTGCGTTGGGCATTGGGAAGGGTCTGGTGCAGAGCCCGAGCAGGTCGCTGGATGCTCCCATTGCCTCTGTGCTTCTTAGACCTGGGCCCTGAAGAACAGACAGAGAAAACGGGACAGACATCATCCAGGCATCGTCCCAGGGACACGTGTGTGGCCCTGAGTGCGTAGCTGGCCGTGCCGTAGCTGGAATTTTCCTCCCAGCTCCACCTCTGTTCGGAGAAGGTCTGCGTTGGTGGGCCAGGGCTTGCCGGGGCAGTGAAAGCTCTTGAAGGTGTTTAGGGTTGGCTTTTCTTTTAACAGCCAGAAAGTCTGTTGTAGAGTGTATAACCACGTGTACCCCTCCTGAGCTTTGAGGTGCTGTGGTTGAAGAGTAGTCCAGTCCACGGCCGCTGCGCTGTCCCTGGATGGCAGCAGCTCCGAGCCGCAGTCACCGTCCTTCGGTTTCTCCACTGTGGAACACGTTAACTTCTTGCAGGGCTTGTGTCAGGCCTCAGGTTTATTAAAGTCCCTCCACATCATGTGTAATGGAAGAGAAGCGCTAATTCTTGATGGTCTCTAGCACTAGATGCTTTTATGTAAGGTTTTGGTATCTTCAACTTGCTTGTCACCCACTTTCTTCTAATTTTGTAATCGCTCCCGTCTCCAGCAGCATAAGTAAGTGTGTGGAGGAGACCAGAACGATGGTGTGTGGAGGAGACTGAGCTGGGATGGAAGGAGAGTCCCCCAGAAAGCTACAGAAACTGCCGATTCCAGACGTGTTATTTCTCTTCCTCACCAAGCAGCACATGTTTTGTGTCTAAATATTTTTATCATCTTGCTCCAGTGTGAAAGTTGTCTCTTGACAAGCTCCCTCTGTTTGGCTCGGTAGCTGCAGAGAAAAAAGGCGATTGCCTGCGCAGCGTTGCCGGCGATTCCGCCTCAGGAGGAGAATCTGTGGGTTTTGCAGAGCGGCAGGCAGGCGGCAAACTTTGCAGAGATTTCTAGAGGCGCTAAGATAAGCCCCCTGAATATCCTTACCACATTAGTGGGCACGGTGGTGTTGGGTTGACAGTTGGACTGATGATCTTCGAGGTCCTTTCCAACCTTAGTGGTTCTACTTGAGTTTTACTTTGATTCAAAAGTCATCCAGCCACCAAGCCAGGAAACGTGAAATTAATTATTACGTTACCCGTGATTGGTTTAGTGGTGGACTTAGAATAGAATCATAGAATCATGGAATCGTTTAGGTTGGAAAAGACCTTTAAGATCGTCCAGTCCAAACCAAGTCGGTAGTAGTGTTAGGTTAATGGTTGGACTGGACGATCTTAAAGGTCTTTTCCAACCTAAACGATTCCATGATTCTACGAGTAAGATTAAGTTGCGTGGCGTCTTTTTTTTTCCTATTTTCTGGTGCCTTAAAAGCGCCGGGTTGGCAGCCAGCGGTTGGGCTGACCTTGCAGGAGGGCAGGCTGTCCCCACCGCTGCTTCAACGCCGCGCCGGCCGGTTCTCTCCCAGGTGCGGATGGCACTCAAGAACGCCGAGAAGGAGCTGGAGTCCCACTGCAGCTGGGCTGCGCCCGAGGCCCTGCAGAAGTGGCTCCAGCTGACCCACGAGGTGGAGGTCCAGTACTACAACATCAAGAAACAGAACGCGGAGAAGCAGCTGCTGGTGGCCAAGGAAGGGGTGAGAATTTCAGCGTCTTGTCCCGGGTCCTCCCCGTGCAGCGCGGGGGGAAGGTTTTGGGGAATGCAACCTGCAGAGTTGGTTTCTCTGCACCTTCTTTATTTCCCTTTGAATGCCTTAAATTTGCATTTTTCTTTTCAAAGCGCAGCACAAACCTTCGTAGAGGTGTAAGTAGGGGCTGAAAATGATGACGAGCAATCGTCTCTCAGGGCACTGCAGGCGCTGAGCTGGGCACGCCCGGTGGCTGCGGTAGCTGGAGCCCCGGGAAGGCACAGCGTAGGAATCGCACTGCGGGCAGTCAGGAAGCAGAAGGTTTTGCACCCGTTAAGCATAATCCCTGCTCTAGGTGATTTATGTACACAAGCAACAAAATTTCTAACATATGCCTGTGATCTGTAGCGATGAATCGTTTCTGTATTCCCAATTGTTTAAACTTTTCTGTGCCAACCAAAAAGCGATGAGCTGCAGGGAAGCTGTTGTAACATGTGTTTGTCTCCGCGGACGTACACAGCAGCCAGAGCTGGCAGCGTAGACAAACGTGCCTGCCTTGATATGTTTTTATTCTGAACATTTTAACATTTCAGTGGTTTTCCTTTTGCTGTGTCGGTTCTCATGTCCACGTCCTTGGTTTGTCTTTTTGTAAGTCTCAAGCTAATGCCACTAGATCTGTGAACCAAAATGTGTGGAGACTTTGATTTTGAATATACGCTGTGCCGCAAAAGGAAGGCAAAAAGACCAACCCCAAACCAAAAAACCTCCCCAAACCAACAAGCCTAGGGCATTAGCAGTGTTTCTCTGATAGTTTGCTCGTGGGAAAGACAAAACAAGGCTCGATGGGAGAGCCATTCGCTGTATGAAGTAGCTGGTTCAGTTCCCTCTGACTCTCAGAAAATCAGGAGAAGGGCCAAGGAGGAGCATGAAACCCGCAACCTGCTTACTCGCTGCTGGCGAATTCCTCACCCACCGTGTTAGGAAGAACAAGATCCTTCAGTAAAAACACGATTCACGCTAGTTACGTGTGTGCAGACAGCTGCAGGGACTATTTCTGTCTCAGCCCGTCCAGGATGTTCTTGTCCTGGAGGAAACGTAAGGTCGTCTTCTTCCTGTGACCTTTTTCTGTTGATGTTCCAGGCTGAAAAAATTAAAAAGAAGCGAAACACCCTGTTTGGAACATTTCACGTTGCTCACAGCTCATCTCTAGATGACGTTGATCATAAAATCTTAACTGCAAAGTGAGTATCGACTTAATATCTTCCCTTATTTCTGCCTGCCTCTTTCACCCCTCGTATTACAGACACGAGCGTACTGTAGCCCCTACAGGTGCTCTTGGCCTCATTTTGCTGAACTTTTGTTCTGTTGACTTTAGTTAGCTGGGTTTGGACTTGTTCCTTTTAATCAATAACCTTTTGATTTTATCTGTGTGAAACAAGAAATCGCAGTTATGCAGAGCAATTAAAAGCCCTGTCAAAATGAGGATTTAGGAGGATGCAGTGTTCTTAAGCAATTATCCCTGGATATTTCAGTCGTTGCTGGTTTTGTTTTTTTTTTTTTTTTAATTCCTGTATTCCTGAAAATGGAATGAAAGATGTCTCAAGTTTTTTTTAACCGCTGGACTCCCAGCTGCAGACAATATATGGTGCGTTTGTCCGTCGTTCCCTACATTTTCCCTTGTTTGAACCTTGCTTCCAGGCAAGCGCTGAGCGAAGTGACGGCTGCGCTGCGGGAGCGCCTGCATCGCTGGCAGCAGATAGAGCTGCTCTGCGGCTTCCAGATCGTCAACAACCCGGGCATCCACAGCCTGGCATCGGCCCTTAACATTGACCCCAGCTGGATGGGCACCCCGCGGCCTAACCCCTCGCACTTCATCATGACTGATGACGTGGACGATTTGGACGAAGAGATCGTGTCTCCCATGTCCATCCAATGTACGTAGTCTGTGTTCGCTGCGCGTGGGGAGTCTGCGTCTGCCGTGCTGCCGGGTGCTGCAACATGGGGCAGATCTGGGACAGCAGTTCAAATGTGTTAGGAGGAATTAAGGTATCTCAGTTGGTTTTTAAATGACCGAAGACAAATTATTAGTTGATAAGGGTCAGGAATGTCCAGAAGTGCCAGACCACCACTGCTGGGGTAGCTCAGAGCCTGTTAATTCCATCAGAACTAGTCACCTGTAGATGTTATCAGTCGTCGTTTAATCATATGTTCAACTGTTGAACCAACTCACTGCATTTAAGCATTTACAAAAAAAAGAATTACCCAAAGGCATGGGCTAGACGCAGAAAAGTGAGAAAGGAAAATGAAGTGCATTGTCCTGATCTCCCCTGGGCTACAGCACTTGTTTGGGATACGAAAGGACTTGAAGACATCCCCTCCTCATGCACAGCTTTGGACCTGCACCTCTCGCCGGTCCGTATGGGGAGGAGCAGCCTGCTGTGGTGACGCTGCCTCCCCGTAACGAGCCATTAAACATTTCCTGGAGCAAAGACTGAAACCCCAGTGCCCCGTCTCCTGCGCGGGTGTTGTAGTCACCAAGGCGGGCGTTCTCGCCCTCTGTGTGGGTGACTGTTCGTGTACAGAAGCGCATCAGCTGCTGTATGGAGGAACGGGGCTGCTGGAGACGCGGGATCCTGCTCTCACGAGCCCAGATCTCTCGAAGGGATCGAGCTTGGGTCACCCTGTGCCTGTTGCTCTCTCAATTGCTGAGTTCTTGGATTAAGCGAAGGCTGTCTCCTTCTCCGCAAGAGGTTTGTGAACCAGTCCTGAGTACTGCTCCCATGTTAAACTGACCCAGATTCGGCCTTGCTTCTCTCCAAAATGCATTTTCCAAATGCGTTTTCCAATCTCTAGCTATTGCACAAGAGAATGGGAGGCCTGAAG